GGGCTGTGGGTGGCCCTCTGGCTGGTGGGACTGTACTCCACAGCAGGCTGGGAGCTGTACTCCATGCCCTGGGGCATGCTGGGGGCTGTGCTCCTTAATGTAACTTCCTCAACGTCCTTTAGAGCCCAGTCTTAGCTGTTCCCTCCCAGGGGTGACGGTTAACATGATTTGGGTGGAGAGTCAAGTGCTACAGTCATATACGTTTAGCATGTACTCCTTTTAGCTCCTGATCATGTTTAGGGGTGTCAGCTTTAATATTCTCTTCACGCACAATGACGCATAAGGTCTGACTCCGGGCACCGTGGCCTTCAAGATTCTGTGTAGAAACGGTCTGTTTATTCCATGTTCTCTAGCCAAAGCAGGGCCGTCTTGCCGCCGTCAGACTCCCTCCTTCGGCTGCTTCTCATACCAACCTTGTGGATCTCCATCCACGTTTGTGTAAGAGCTAAGCGGGCAGCACTGTTTGGACGGGCAGCGCTGTTTGGAAGCTCTTCTGTGCCATTCTCACATACCCACCCCCACCCCCCAGCATTCAGCACCAGCCACAGCAGCCGCACCAGCACGGGGCTCCCCAGGGATGGGCTGAGGAGGAGACCCGGCTGGCCCTCGGCAATGCCTCCAGGGCACACTTTGCCCGCCAGCCTCAGCCCCCCACCACGGCGCCTGGGCAGAACATCTGGTCCTGCCTGGCAGTGCAGCTGGGGGAGGCCTCTCGGATCTGAGAGCAGCTCTCGGCCTGCAGGGGCTTTGCACAGGGGCTGCGCTGGGCCCCAGCACAGGGGGCTCAGGTCGCCTGGAGGCATTGACCTGTCAGGGAGAAGCTGTGCTGGGCTGCGGAGCCCAGAAGCCATGCCTACAAGAGCCCAGGGGTGTGAGGGGAGGGGAACTGACGTGCGGAAAGCAGACTCCACAACTGGGAAAGTTGTAAAGTAGGTATGTGTATTCAACGCTGGGCAGCACAGGGGGTCGCCCCACCACAATCGTGCGTGCCCAGTGCAGCACCTTGCCTTAAATTTATACAACACTGTGATTTCATAGTCATAGGGTTTCTCAATATGCTTATACATATTCATGACCTGTCCCGGCTTCGTATTAAAATTAGTCTCAAGGAGTTATTTCCATAACTCCTCCTCCCAGTGCTTGCGCAGTGCCTCCTGGTGGTGGTCGTGAGGCATCGTAAAGATGAAGGCTGATAGCTATTCTTCATCACTGCAAGTAACCTCTTGTTCTTGCGCAGACTCAGTTACTCCTTGATTCTTGTCCAAACCGCAAGGTTGGTTTCAGCTGGTCTCTTGAGACAGACTTCTGGTTGTTATCAGGAATCATCCTCAACAAGGTCCATGGAGCCTCTTGCTTCGCTTGATTTGTGTAAGCCCTCACACCATAAATGCTGTTTGTTTAACCCCTTCGTGCTATACAATCGAAAGCTAGCCAGTAGAAACGAAATTCAGAGTTCCCAGTTCCCGGTCTCAGTCTGACTTTCAGGAGCTGAAGACATACAGCTTTCCAGCTGGAAGTCTAAAGACTCTCACTTAGTAGAATCAAAGGAAAAATGCTTTGTATTTCATGTAGAGCAATTCATGTAATGGGTCAGTAGGAAGCTGAAGGGGATTTGTTTTGAGTTACAAATGTATTTTAAGCTGTACGCTTTTCGTTGGTGATGCTGCGGTAAGTACTGATGATAGCTGTGCGTATGCTTTTGCTGATTGCCGTCTTTGGTAGAGGGGTCTATGCAGAGATTGTGTTTGGGAACCCCTGGGGGAACCGGGATGTTGTATGTTGTGTTGTGTGCCAGCGCTGTGTGGAGAAGACATTCACCTGAGCCTGAGGGGACTGTCTCTGATTTCAGGAGGGCCCAGAGAAGACTTGTTGGCTTGTTGGTGCCCCGAGTGCTCCTCTAAGAGAGTCTCAGGTGTTAACTCACTTCTTGTTGTTGTGACAAAAGCTTTGCTTTAATTTGCTTGCAGCTTGACTTTGAACCTTCCTAGTGTGGAGTGTAAATATGTGCATAAAACCCAATCAGCATCTATTCCTTGCTCAGCACAATCATCTCCTTCTGTTGGCTGTGTTACACAAGAAACACTTCATATCCAGGCAGACTGGAATGTATTTCTAAACCAGAATGTGGCGGGAGAGGGTCTGGGTAAAATGAGTTTTGTTGAGGAGCGGTCTAGCAACGCAGCCACCGCTTCTCGGCGTGACTTTGGGCAAGTTGTCCAACCTCTTCCTGCCTTCAGCCTCCTCACCCTGAAATGTGATTAAAAGTTAACGTAAAAAGACCGAGTTGGTACCTTTCATCTGAAGATGCTACAAAAGGGAAAAAGTCTATTCCTTTGATGTTCTTTAGGAGAAACGGGCTCCGGGAAGACGACTCAGATCCCGCAGTACCTATACGAAGCAGGAATTGGCCACCAAGGCATCATTGCTGTGACCCAGCCTCGCAGAGTAGCAGCTATATCTTTAGCTACCAGAGTCTCAGATGAGAAGAAGACAGAGCTAGGGAAACTGGTAGGTTGCTTTACAGAGTCTTTAGAGAGTCGGTTTAGTACTGCATTGTTGATGGGGCTGTATCAGGGCTTAATGAGTAAGATCACAAACAGCCACAGGGGTACTAGGTAATCTCCCTCTAAGAACATGCCTGAATGAAAAAAATTGCTGTTTACCTGCTTCTGTGGCTCGAGGGGGGGTCATGTTTGACGCTGTCTCTGTGGTATTTTACTTCTTCATTATCATCTGTGTTCCTCCATTTGAAGAAACACTGGTCAATGAACAAACCAAAAACTACTGCGCTCTCTTCCCTTGCTTCCTGTATCAAAAGTCACTGTCAAGGAGAGCAGAGTGCTGCATCTGTGCGGATCTGTGAATCTGTGGGAGAAAAGCAGAGGGCAAAGACTTCTCTTGCAAAAAGCCTTTGGAGAGCATGCAGTGGTTTCCAGCAGAGGGGGAAAGAAAGGAAACCTGGAGCATTTGTAATGAACTTCTAGTTGGGAAAAAGCTAATTGGGATACAATGTTGGGAGCTTCCTTTGGGTGGATTATTAGATTTGCAAGACTAACTGCTCAGGCTGCAAACACACTGTTACGCTTTCCAAATTCTCCACATTCTAATGGGCTCTGGCTGATGCATTGGCCAGAGTGCTTTGTAGTCCTTCCTTGTAGTACAATGGCAATGAGAAATGTAATTAACTTTGTGCTTGTGCTTTCTGTAATGATCGCTTCCATAGGTTGGCTATACTGTACACTTCGACGATCTTACATCTGATGAGACTAGAATCAAGTTTTTAACAGATGGCATGCTGCTTCGCGAAGCTATTGGGGACCCAATGCTGCGGAAGTACAGTGTTGTCATCCTGGATGAGGCCCACGAGAGGACGATCCATACCGATGTACTCTTTGGAGTGGTGAAAGCTGCACAAAAGAAGCAAAAGGAACTGGGCAAACTGCCGCTGAAAGTACGTGCATCTGGAATGGCAGCAAAGGGCAGGGATGGGGCTTGGACTCTGAGCACTATGAGTATCTCCTGGGGTTTTCTAACATGTTTGAAATGTCAGCCTTGACTATTTTCCCGTTCCTAAAAAGCCCCTTGAAACCTGAATAGTTAAGGGTGGCCAAGTTACCATGTGTGGGCCTGCTATGACTCATCGGAACAAGGTATCTGGTCACCTCCATGCTGCCTTTTTTCCTAAGAGCCCTGTGGGTGTTAGTTATAGGCTAAACAACTTTTTTGGGGAGATTTTGGTACTGTCACTGAGAACACCATGGGTACAGGAGCTGTTTGTCTGATGTGACAGCTGTATAATAACGTGTGTGCGTACATGATGCAGCGTGTTGAGTGCACGTTGGTTTGGATGGGGAAGGCACGTAGGGGGACTGGCAGGGTCCTAGCACATTCTTGTTCAACAGAGCATTGTGCAGCCTAGCTTTGTGGGTACTCGGTTCTGTTTATTAAATGTCAGAAAAGAATTTTAACACCTCTTCGCTCATTTTGTCATACTGACACGTTACACTTGTGTGATGCCAAAGCTGATGGCTTTAACAAGGCAAGATCGGTCTCTTCCGTCCCAAACTCTGTGTGCTTTTTACTGTTCTGAGCATATATCTCAGTCTCAGGAAGCTGACTTTTGATTAGTCCTGACTGGTAAGTGTCCTGTTGAGTCTGAACTGCAGGGCTAACCCATCTTATGCTCATATTGAAGGTGATCATCATGTCAGCAACAATGGATGTTGACCAGTTCTCCCAGTACTTCAACGGAGCTCCTGTTCTCTATTTAGAAGGCAGGCAGCATCCCATTCAGATCTTTTACACCAACCAGCCTCAGAGTGAGTACCTCCAAGCAGCACTGGTGACAGTCTTCCAAATCCACCAGGTATGGTGGTCTTGTCAGGCCACGGATTGTTGATTGGGTTGCTCACGGGTTGCTCGCGGGTTGCTGTAGCAGAAGAGATGGCTTGAGGTAGCTGCTACTAAATCAGAGATGTCCCTGAGGTGCTCTGCTGCCTCCTCCCGGAGAAGTGGATAGTTGGGGAGCATGTTGGGGTAATGAGTTGGGTTGGCTCAAGGGAGGGGTTGGCAAATACCAAAAAGCATTATTCCAAAAGCATAAAGAAAGTTTGGAAGTGGTCAACTGTCGAGAGCCTTAGCTTGTGGGAGGAAATCCAGGCATAAGCAAGCAGTAGCGTGAAGATGATTCTAATTCACTGGCAAAGCGTAACCACAGGGCAAGTCGAGATCTATTCAAATAACAGCTCATTGGCATTTTGTGACTAAACGTTCGAATGCAAAACTGCCCAATGGTTAAATCCTTTAAGTAAACTGTTTATTACCCTGCATTTGACGCTTTGAAGATGCTACTGTTGTTGGGATTTTGGGACTTGTACATCAAAGCTGGAGTTGAAAGGAGACTGCTAAGCAAAGATCTCTGATGCCAGTTGATACCTAACACCTAAATGTTCCTCTCACGTGAGTTCTCTGTTTACTGGCTTGTACCTGGGTGCTTGCTGGCTCTCTCGTTTGCATGTCCTGGGCAGTTATTGGATGAAATGGACATGTGACTTGAAATGATTCCTCCATCCTGTTAAGACTCAGTCCTGCAAAACGTGATTTACCGTTCACCTCTGCTGAATCCATTGGGACCTTGTGGCTGTTGCACACGTCACACAGCATGTGTGTCTCTTCTTTCTTCCTTACCTGCTTTGCTGACTTGCTGTCTGGACAACATCTCATTACAATCTCAGTTCTCCCTCGCCCCCCCCAGCCAAACCATCTTAACTTTATTTGCTTTTT